GGATAAGGTTATCCATATTTCTTTGCAACACATATTACAAGTATATTTTTGGATTTTAAGGACAAAAACAGAAACCTTTTTGTTTGTGTATGTGCGGTAACAGTAGCTTATAGTAAAACTCATGATTTATTTCTCAGGTCTGTATTTATTACTAAAATAATCTCTTTCAAATAAAATTATTCTTTGTTTTTTTCCCTAGCCTTAACCATGCATACGTAACTCCATTGAAAATTGAAAATAAATGTGATTTCACATCCATTTTAACTAAAGTTAGAATCTTCGGTATGTCATCCTAGATTGCAAAACTTCTTTCTAATGGAAATAAGACTTAAATTAGTTTCTGGTACTTGTTAGTACTCCATCCAGTTTAGCTATTATGCGTGTTGCCACAAAATAGATTCTCTGCAGGAAAGCAGTGGACTCTGATATAATAAGAATCACCTGTTTTAAGGAAGGCCTAAATAATCTAGATTATTTTCATTTGATATGTTTTTTTTTTTAATTATGGGCTGTTTATGCCTTTCAAATTAGTAACCGCTGCTTCCTGTCTCTTTTTACATATACTAGCATTCCCTCATTCTTAATCTTACTTTCACCCCAAACATCCCATTTTACTTTTGAACTTGCCTTGTACTCCCTATCCCCCTGCTACCACCACCACAAAATGTACTGGGATGGCCAAAATGTTCCTTCGGTTTTTAAGTAAAAATAAGAATACACATTTTTCATTTTCATCAAGAACTTTATTGAACAACATATTCACTCTTTTGTTCCACTACCTTCTGCCATTTTTTCAGGCAGCTTCATAATTCCATCTTCCCAAAGCTTTATCTTTTTGAGCAAAGAACTGTTCCAGGTACCTTTTAATCTTCCAGGGAATTGAAATTTTTTCCATTAAGAGAATTTTGTAAAGACCGAAGTAAGTAGAAATCCAAAGGTGCAGTGTCTGGTGAATACGGCAGATGAATCAGAACTTCCCAGCCAAGCTGTAACAGTTTGCCTGGTCATCAAAGAAACACATGGTCTTGTATTATCCTGATGGAAGATTATGAATTTTCTGTTGACTAATTCTGGATGCTTTGCCGATGCAAAGTGCTGCTTCCAGTTGGTCTAATTGGGAGCAGTCCTTGTTGGAATTAATCTTTTGGCTTTCCGGAAGGAGCTCATAATAGAGGACTTCCTTTCATTCCCACCATGTACACGGCATCACCTTCTTTGGTTGAAGACCGGCCTTTGGTGTGGTTGGTGGTGGTTCATTTCGCTTGCCCCATGAATCCCATGCAGAAATACGGTTAAGAAGGTTTTTTTCACTTAACTTACGTGGAACCCAAACACCAAAGCGATTAACATAACCAAGCTGGTGCAAATGATTTTCAGTGCTTGATTTGGATATTTTGAGTATGTTGGCTATCTCCCGCGTGGCATAGTGTTGATTGTTCTCAGTTAATGTCTCAGTTTGATCTCTGTCAACTTCAACTGGTCTACCTGACCATGGAGCATCATCCAGCAAGAAATCTCCAGCACAAAACTTCACAAACCACTGACACATTCCATCAGTCACAGCACCTTCTCCATACACTGCACAAATCTTTTTTTGCGTTTTAGTTGCGTTTTTACCTTTCTTGAAATAATAAAGCATGATAACGCTGAAAATTTTGCTTTTTTTCTTCCATCTTCAGTATTAAAATGGCTACACAAAAATTCACCGGTTTTGATAAGTTTTTTTTTTTTTAAGTGCACACTGGTACGACAGCTATCACAATACAGTCTAACAAAATTGTTTCAAATGAAGTTAAAGACAACTAAGGGCTACTAGAGCCATCTTACAGAAAAACTGAACGAACTTTTTGGCCAACCCAATAGCTTGTGTTATCAAATCAAAAGGTGAGTGGACTTTCTGGGGAAAGAGGGATCAATTATTTTTTCTGTTTCTACTTCCTATCAGTTCTAGCAAATAATACTCAGGAGTTCTAATTTCTTTCTAGTTAATTTCCTATAATGTTTTCTCCCCTTTTTGGCCAAATAATAGTCTATCTTTCTCTACTAGGTTCATTTTAGTCATCATAATGCCTATTAGTCAAAACATTTTAATGGTGGCTTTTTGTATATTTGCCATATCATTATTAGGATCAATAATAGTTACCTATGTGCAACTTGAAGGCGCTTCTGCCCACTTAAATTCTTTGTCACTGCTGAAGATTGTGATTATCAAAAGTTGTAGGTTGTCAGCTCTGTGGAGGAAAATCTGTATTTCTCCCATAAAGCATCACATGTACAGTGTGTCAGCCCTCCGAGAGTCTAAATACTAGCCATCTGAGCTGTTGGACTATCTGGGAATATTCTTAAAGCTCAGAAAAGTAAGAATCCCACCCAATTACTTTCTTACAGATAGACAGTCAGGTGGAGGTTATCATACATTTGTGTTGGGGAGCCCTCAACATTTGGATTTGGCCATGTCCTGCAGGACCTGATGACAGCGTACCTTGCAGGGAAGGAGAGTCGCTCCCAGATAGCCCTCACGAGTGGCCCTGGAGCAGGAAGTGGTGAAGCAGATCTTCCTGGTTTGGGAGGAACCTGAGGTGGACCTCTCGTCCTGAGTCTGGAAGGTAAATTTGTTGTTACCTGTAAATTATGGTTCTGCTAGTTCATGCTATGCCAATCCAGACTTTCAGAGGTATCCCTCCTGCCAGCAAGAGAAGACAGATGACTTGGATGAAGATGGCTCTCAAGCCCTGGGTCATTTAGTCTTCCACACTTAAGAATATTCATTTTAAACAAAAGGGCAGATATATCTATGAAATGACTTTATTATTTCAACACATTGAGCACATACTATGCAATGACTATGGTGCTCGTTTTTGTTTTTGTTTCTTCATTTTTTTTCTTAGAGTGAACCATATGGATTGGTTTAAGAGGGCCTAGCAGAACCACAACCTTACAGGCAAGAACAAATGTCACTTTCTGCTACTTTCTCCTATACCAATCCAGACTGTAGGGAGCAAAACATAACATCCCCCACTAAAGTGAGCATTAACTTTATTTTCTAAGTGAGCATATTGACACATTCTCTTTAGTAAAATGTGACCAGAAGTTATTTTCTCCAAACAATTGTTAAGACTTAAAAAAAAAAGTCAGTATGACATTGTCACATCTAGCTCAAAAGGGAGTCAGTCCTGTATGCCAAATTCACTTAACAGTGTGCCCACCTAACACACAACTTGTCAGCATAACCATGCTTCTTCCTTCTCAGTGAAAAATAAAGCCCATTCCACAAGATTTGGCAGCCAAACAAAGAGGAATGGATATCCTACCTTAATTTAATGCATACATTTCACTGCATCTGTCTGCTCTAATTGGTTCATCCTCACAGAAATTAACACATGGTCTTTGTGTTAATATATGGTAGCTTAATCTGTTACCTATCTTCTTTCCAGCCTCTCCTTTTCTAATCATATCTGCTGGCAATAGGGATGGCCCTACAGTCTAGAATGATATAGGGGGAGATAGCAGAACCTGAAGAGTCCATTCTTTCAATTTAAAAAAGCAGAAAGAGGTAGTCATAATAGATGTATTTTTTTTTTTGCACAGCTCAGGAAGATAGTTATGTGTATCCTTCCAGAATTACAAATAGTTGAGATAGGCCACTGTCTCCAAGTGATTGAAGTATATTCATTGCTTGCTACTTTAGAAAATAGCCATAAGTTGATTCTGTGTTTGGTTTCTAGACTTATCCTAGTTCAGTGTTGTTTGACATATTCTTCCTCTCCTTCAGAAATTCCTTAAACTATTGAGAGCATAAGGGTTGAGTACTGTTTTAAGCTAATCCTGTTGGGTTAGCATCCACCCAAGTATGAGCAGCCTTGCATGGAAGACATTTGCCCAGTGTTCCGATGGACTAGTTTGTGTGACTCTTGGATATCTTTGTTTAGTCATCTTTTAGCTTTGAAGCTATTTTGTCTTTTCCTGATTTGTTCATATTATCAGGTCTTTTATAACCTTACCTAATCCTTTTTTCTGTGATCAAGGTTCTAAATTGTATTTAACGAGGAGCTGATTATCAAGGACCGCAGAAACTGTTTGGTATTATCAGCATTTAAATTTCTATATTCATTTATTTGGTTTAGTTAACCATTGCTAAATTCCAAATAATTGTAAACTGCCTCAAATTTAAGGATTAAAATATAATGGAAATCGTAATTTGGAAACATATTAAATTTTGGAAAATCCCTTCATGGTATTCATTTAATAGGTTTTCTGAGTCCCCATCTTAACCATTTGTGTGGAGGCTATTTATTACCAGATCTAACACTGAAAGTTTTCTCTTTGTTTATGTTAATTCCTGCATGAGAAATTTTGAAATAATAAATTATTTAACAATTTACCATGGTACGATTCTCCAAAAACTCTTCAACTCCACCTTTTTAATAACTTTATCTGGTGCTTTTGCCACAGGTCAGTTGTAACAGACTATATTTCTATTCTATGAATTTAACTGAAGTTGAAAATATAGATAACTAAGTTTTGTTTCTCTCTGTTTCTGAAACCACATTGCTGATTGGAATTATCTTTCTTTCTGCTCTTTGACCAGATCTATTAAAATTAGAGGTTAAGGTAAAGTACATTCATTCAGTTCATATTAAAAATAATGAATTTCTTAAATGAGCTTTTTCCTTTGAAACCTACTATCAAGTTTGTAATTTGGATTTTACAAAAATTGCTGCTCAAGTCTTGTTTTAGGGCAGTTTTGAATTTTGAACTTGACATGGATCTATTCTAATATATGTGAATTCTCTTCATCTTGAGCTTGTCCCTGACATCGGCTTTTTCCAAATAGAATTCTGTGACACAGGGAATAACAATTATATTTTTAGAGAAAAGTGAATGAATTAAACGGTATTTTTAGTTTAATGTTTCCATGACTGATAGTAGTGCTTAATTTTGAATGATGTGTTTTAGGCTTTATTTAATAAGATGATAATTTAATAATTTTTATATGACAGGCACCTATGGGGACCTGCTGGGGTGATATCTCAGAAAATGTGAGAGTAGAAGTTCCCAATACAGACTGCAGCCTACCTACCAAAGTCTTCTGGATTGCTGGGATTGTAAAATTAGCAGGTGAAAAGCATGTGTAATAATTTACTTTAAAAATGTCAATTATATTTGTAACTTATGAGAAAGCATATTTGTAAATTTTCAGGTATTGCCAAATAAGTATGATGTAGGGCAGAGGTTAGCAAATTTTTTTCTGTAAAAGACCAGACAGTAAATATTTTCAGCTTTGTGAGCAATGCAGTCTCTGTCACAACCATTTAACTCCACCATCATAGCATAGAGGCAGCCGAAGCAGTACATAAATGAATAGGCATGACTGTGTTCCGGTAAAACTTTATTGTTACGTGTCATAAAATATTATTTTATCTCTGATTTTTTTTTTCAGCTATTTAAAAATGTAAAAACCATTCTTAGATGGCAAACTAAAAAACATCAGGCAGTAGGCCAGATCTGTGGGCCATATATAGTTTACCAACCCCTGATAGAGCGAGATGCTTTGGAAAGGAACAAAAAAGTCAAAGTACTAAAAAAAAGTGATATGGTCCATAATATGAGAAGTAAACTAGTGATGAAAGTTTCATCTATTTTGGGTACTACCTTTTTCTTCATTCCCACCTCTTCCAAGTACCCCAGCCCTTATTACATTGTTGCTCATGAAGTAAATGCATTAGGTGTCTGCTGTGTTAGACACCGTGGGCAGGTGACATGCAGACGTATAAGATTTGTTTTTTTCAGTGAGCTCACATCTGCTAAATATTGAATACATTTTAACACAAGGTGCTTAGTGAGTGGTGCTGTAGGACACTGTAGTGCTTCAGAGGGGGAGCAGCCACTCAGATGATAAAAATTGTCCTGAGATTACTGGAAGAGGTATCTTACTCCTCCTACTCTTTCTAGGCTTATCTCCAGCCATTCTCCCCCAGAAACCCTGCCTATTGCTCCCTAAGTACTGCTGATAGACTTAATTTACCTAAAAATGATCTCAATTCTATCTTTCTGTCTTTAATGGCTTCTTTGTCCTTAAAGGATCAGGATGGTCAGCATTTACAGCTATTGATGAGTTTCACCGTACACCACTGACCAGATTTTTTATTGTTCCCCAACATAAATGATCTGTTCTTGTGAAATTGGTTTTCCTCCTCTCTCATACAGCATGTTCTGTGTCACCTCCATGCCTTTACTCACTCTCACTCTCTCACTTACCGTATTTAACCCAGTTCAGTTCCCACCTTTTCCTTGAAACATTTACCCAGCTATATAAGCATTCTCTAAATGCTTGTATTATTCTCTACACCTTAATTGAAAACAGTAGTATATATATTTTTGCTTGATGTTTAAATCAGTTGCATTTAAATGGCTCTAAAGATCAATGTATTTAATGTCCAAGAATTATTTCTGTCTTCCATCTGGTTTTACATTTCTGTTTTATCTAATTGCAACTTATATCTCATTTTAAGCCCCTTTAATGACATTTTAGAAGTGAGCCTGATATTGATCACGAACCCAGAATCAGCAACAGTTAGCAAAGTCATGAGTTGTTCTGTGAATTATTGAATTTTAAAACTAAAAGTTTAATGCTATAAATTTTCATCATAAATATTAACACATGAAAATGCTGACTGAACTTAGCTCCCAGCCTGAAATATAAGTTTATTGGGCCTTTTTTATTCCACTAAAGGCCTTAAATTAAACCTTAATCTATTATCAATACAAGGTTTATTAAATTATAAACAATATATATCATATACTATTTGTTCTTTTCAGGAAATAATTCTTCCGATTTGTTTAGTACATATAGATTTTAAGTGATTTCACATATTTTTATTTGTGTTTACTGAACTTTTTTACCTCGCATTTTCAAATCTTATTTCCAAATAAACAAGACAGAAAAGTTTAGGCTCCTAAAGGAGCCACATCCGAATTATCCAATAATAATTCGGTCACCTGATCACTTGGAAAAAGCAGTTTCTTTGAAATGTACTTTAACTGGATTTCTGTGACTTAACAAGGTTATACTAACTTACCACAGTCTTCTTTATTTCCAAAACTACACATTCTAATAGAACTTTCCCACCCCTCTTTTCACTGAGAATTTCTTTTCTAGAATTTAAGATACTATGGGTCAAGTTGAAATATATTCAGAGGAGTAGGCCGTGCTCTGAAAACAGTTAAACTAATTACATTGTTCAGATAGTTCTCAAAGTTTCATCTATACCATTAGTGACAGCAGCCTCTGGGAACGTGTTATAAATGCAGATTCTCAGGCTCACCCAAGATCTACTGAATCTGGATCTCTGGGGTGTGAGGCCCAGCTATCTGTCTGTTCACAAGCCCTGCACGTGAATCTGTTTCAGATGCTCACTGACATTTGACAACCACTACCAGCAACTATATCCTCTTTTATTTCATTTGGTTTTCTTATTATGCGGCAATTGCTTTGTTGGTTTCAGGCTACAATGCCCTTTTAAGATATGAAGGATTTGAAAATGACTCTGGTCTGGACTTCTGGTGCAATATATGTGGTTCTGATATCCATCCAGTTGGTTGGTGTGCAGCCAGTGGAAAACCTCTTGTCCCTCCCAGAAGTGAGTAGCTTCTTTACCCTTACTATAGAGTATTTGCACTTTAATGCAGTTTTACACTTAGTAATGTTAAAGTGACATAGAAATTAAAATAATGTTTTTTGGTTTCAAGTAACTTACTTGCTAGTAAGACATGCTTATTTTCCCTATTTTTGTTACTCTTCTTGAGAACTTTAATTGCAGGGAAATTTGTAACTTTTTTTTTTTAACAGTTTATGAAGCAATTCTATTCTTTGCTAAAGTGTAACTGGTTATTTCTTTTGTTTTAGCTATTCAGCATAAGTATACAAACTGGAAAGCTTTTCTAGTGAAACGACTTACTGGTGCCAAAACACTTCCTCCCGATTTCTCACAAAAGGTAAAGACAGGATCTTAGAAAGGACTGAAGTGGCAAATGAGAACTCTAAAAAATGGAATAACTTCGAAGTTTTTTAAGGAATTGTTTCAATTAGTGAGTCAGATGACCTATGTTAACTATCGAGTGCACTCGGTATTTTTATAGTACAGTGCTAAAATTATTTGTAGACCTTGGTCGTGAATTCCCAACAGTTCTGCCTTTGTTTCAAGGTTTCAGAGAGCATGCAGTATCCTTTCAAACCTTGCATGAGAGTAGAAGTGGTTGACAAGAGGCATTTGTGTCGAACGCGAGTGGCAGTGGTGGAAAGTGTAATTGGAGGAAGATTAAGACTAGTGTATGAAGAGAGTGAAGATAGAACAGATGACTTCTGGTGCCATATGCACAGCCCATTAATCCATCATATCGGCTGGTCTCGAAGCATAGGCCATCGATTCAAAAGATCTGGTAAGCACCTGTCGCAAGAACTCCTGTTGAAAATATCATTGAGGCTAAACCGTACTACTTGGTTATTTTTCTCTGCAGAATAGCATAGATCAAAACTAGTTGCCGGGGCTGCTTATTCTATCTTAATTAGGAAAGTTTCACACCAGGATATTAATGTCCTAACAATTCCTTTATATTCCTTCCATTTGTGCTCAAGTAAAAAATAATGCACTTTTGGTCACAACTACATTTGTTTTCTTACACTTTTTTATCCAGCCTGTTTGAAAGAACTGAAGATAGCCTTTCCCTTTCCATTCAATTTTAGTTGGAATAGTGAAATTAAATGTGGTTAGACTTAATACTAAACACATTAAAACGTACTTTCTAAAGTTGTAATTCCCTAACTAGGGAATTTCCAGCATTCTGATTGGCTGAATGTATTTAAACAGCACATGTACTCTAAAGAGAGAAAGACTTTTAAAGAATATTATTCACCATAAATGTAGAAGGCATGTATTTTTGCCATGTTTTAGAGTATACGTACCTTGTGAGTTTGAAACCTTCAAAGAAACGTGGTTTTTGGTCTTCCCACAAATGCTGACAGATTAGTATGTAACTTTTCCTTGTAGATATTACAAAGAAACAGGATGGACATTTTGATACACCACCACATTTATTTGCTAAGGTAAGAAGTTTTTATAAGAACCCTCATTTGTAAATTAGGTTTGAAATAGGGTTGTGGGTTTTTTCCTAATATTATGGAAATCGTAATTACATATGTTCACCTAAAAGGATTAAGACCTTGTAGTCCATATGTGTCACAACTGTTGATTATAATTATTCTTCAATTCTATTTGCCTGAATTCTCTCTATTCCCTAATGGAAGTTTGAGTTATAATATTAGGTAGGTAGGAGAAGACACTTGGTATTTTCATCTGGTAAACTTTTTCAACTTGGTATTATTTTAATTATTAAACTGATAACACTTGTGACGGTAGATGTACTTTCATGTAATTCTTTAGGTAAAAGAAGTAGACCAGAGTGGGGAATGGTTCAAGGAAGGAATGAAATTGGAAGCTATAGACCCATTAAATCTTTCCACAATATGTGTTGCGACCATTAGAAAGGTAAGAGAATAGGTTTTAAAATATAGAAATGCAGTTATAGGAGCTAGGTTTAAGGTAATAGGAGAAGGAGGCCCCTAACATATTCATTTTGACATAAAATGTGTGCATCTGCATCTTCACTGGGGAGAACGTTACTAGTAATTTCAAAATAAATTTGAATTCTCTTAGGGGGCTTTTCTTTTTATATATCTTGTTGTCAAGATTGTTATCTTGAGTCTGCTACCTTTATTTTATGGAAGTATATCCTTAAGTTAGAGGAGGAATATTTATTTAACTTATTTCCTGGTCAAAGCTTGTCCAACACAGAATTTGTAACAAGGCCAAGTTTATCTTCAGTTTCCTACATTTCCTTTGTGTGCTTTTTTTTTTCCCTTTTAGTAGTACTTTACTTCTTCTTTTCTCTTTTTCTCTGTCTTCTGAAACTGTTTTTATAAAAAGATGTAGAAGAGTGGTTCTCAGTTCTCAGTAGGCATCAGAATCTCCTGGGGAGCCAGCAAAATACCATTGACTAGGCCTCTTCCCTGACCCTGCACCCCCATTCTGATTTAATCAGTCTGGTTTGGGGCCCTAGCATTGGTTTTTTTGTTTTTGTTTTTGTTTTTGTTTTTTTTTTTTTTGCGGTACACGGGCCTCTCACTGTTGTGGCCCCTCCCGTTGCGGAGCAC